TAAAGTCGGGTTTCTGTTATTTGCAACAAGAGTACTAAACAACACACTTACTAAGAGCCAGGCAGCATGCTGGGCAGTGGGGGTGCAGCTGCAAATAAGATGTAAGCCTGAATCTGAAACTGCTCACGTTCTTTTTAAAATTTTTAAATTTTATTTTGTTTTATTTTTGAGACAGAGTCTTGCTCTGTTGCCCAGGCTAGAGTGCAGCAGCACAATCACAGCTCACTGAAGCCTTTACCTCCTAGGCTCTAGCAATCCTCCTGCCTCAACCTCCCTTGTAGCTGGGATCACAGGCGCATATCACCATGTCAGGCTAATTATTTTATGTAGAGACAAGGCCTCCCTATGTTGCCCAGGCTGGTCTTGAACTCCTTGGCCTCAAGCAATCCTCTCACCTCAGCCCCCCCCAAAATGCTAGGATTACAGGCATGAGCCACCACACTCAGCCTATCTTTTTATTTTTTAATAAAATAAAAAAGTTTATTTTTTAATAAAATAAAAAAATTATATTTTATTGTACTGAGATTTAATTAACTATATTGAGATTTAATACAGTTAAACCTGTACTGAGATTTAATTATCTTACACACTTTAAAGGGGTGATGTTATATATATATAAAGTGTATAATTCCATGGCTTTTAGTATATTCACAGAATTATGCAACCATCTCCACTATCATTTTCTACCTTGCATTAGAAATGATGAATATGTTCTTGCCCTGTTCTCTATTCGCCAGCTGTCTCTCTCAAACCCAGGGCTATGTTTTACACTTTTCTGCAGCATCAACAGCTCCAGTACGTGCTCAGTAAACACCTGCTGAGCTGTACTCAGACCTTTTTAGGAAGCACAGCCTCAATTCAACAGTCCTTTAAATCCTTTCTAAAGCATGGTGAATAAGGGGAAAGATCTTTGGCAAAGCCACTCAAGAAAAACGACATGCTAACCAATCGCTGGGATTTCTACATTAGATCTTGGCATCAGGGTGATCTTTCTGACAGTTTCACCCCTAGACTGGGCTTCTTGGCTCCCTGAACTTTCTCTAAGTTTATTATTGAATGATATAAGATAGTAACATGTGGGAAAACATATAGGTCCAACAATAGGGGAATGATTAAATACGTATGGTACACCCACAGGACAGAATAGTATACAGCCACCAAAAATCATCTTTACAAGGAGGATTTGAGGACATGGGGGAAAACCCAGGATACAACATTAACTGAAGGAAAAAAAACATAAAAGAGCATATGGAGTATGATACATAAAATAGTGAAAAATGACAACTGGAAGGGAATGATGCTAATTATTAGATGTTATTATTTTTGTGTAGATGGATTATGGGCAATTATTTTTCTTTATGCTTCTCTGTAATTTTCAGCTTTTCCACAATGAATGTTAATCAAATTGAAAAAAACATTATCTTTAACTCATTCCTTGGCTATTATTTTATTTTATTAGTGTGGCGACCAAAGAATAAGAAACAACCACATGGAGACAGGAAGACAGGAAGACCACTTGAACCCAGGAGTTCAAGGCTGCCGTGAGCTATGATGTACCACTGCAGTCTCACTTGGGCAAGAGAATGAGACCCCCAGCTCTTTCAAATTAAAAAAAAAGGCATTTTCTCTCAGAGTTTTTAGATCAAACATTAAGTAATATGGTATATTTACCTTTTTACCTTGACTGCCAGGAAGCTCAGAGCTAAAATATAATACTCAATGCAATAACAAATTTAGCCCAGGTTCTTGGTATAGTAACTTCTATGTTTCTACATAGTTTCTGATGCTTTCTTTTATCTGTATTTTCAGTTGTCTTGCTTGTTCAAATCCTCATTGGAATATATAAACAAGTATTTGCTGAAGCCATTTGGTGTTACACCAGAGAAGCAGACGTTCTGATAGACAGGTATTCTGTTTGGCTGTTTCATTTTTACCAAAACACATGGCATTGAGTGGGGTTTTGAAAATCTACCACTATTCTACTTACAGAAGAGAGTCAATCTGGATGTAGGAGGCTCCTTTATTGAGACAGATTGTCCCCAGTGACCAGATTAACCCATTCCTTGCTAAATCTCCATCTCTCTGCAGACCATATGCATAAAAGTCCATACTGGTGCCCACAGTCACTGGCCATTGAGGCCACTGATTGACAGCAAATGTCAGCAAATCCAGCCAAAATCTGTTCACTCATCCACCCTGTGTTCAAGTCTACAAACGATGTGACACAGCCTGTAAATAATTAGGCAGTGTCCACAAAGACAGTCAATCTGAATAAACTAGACCCTAAACACTCTAACACTGGCCACAAACATTCTTTAGATTGCTCTGGATTTTACTGCAAATTACCTAGACTGATCCTTTCTTCACTCTGGCTCAGGGAGAAAGCACCTCTACTTTAAAGACAAGGCCACTTGTGAATTCACAGGAAATAAAAATGAAGGAAGGAGTCTGGGCACGGTGGCTCATGCCTGTAATCCCAGCACTTTGGGAGGCAGAGGCGGGCAGATCAGCTGAGGTCAGGAGTTTGAGACCAGCCTGACCAACATGGAGAAACCCCATCTCTACTAAAAATACAAAATTAGGTGGGCATGGTGGCACATGCCTGTAATCCCAGCTACACGGGAGGCCGAGGTAGGAGAATCACTTGACCCCGGGAGGTGGAGGTTGCAGTGAGCCAAGATCACGCCAATGCACTCCAGCCTGGACAACAAGAGCAAAACTCCATCTCAAAAAAAAAGGTGGAGGAAGAGGAAGAAGGGAGGCAGGAAACATTTATTTAGTGCTTACAGCATGCCAGAGCATCTTCTACCCTGGCTTGTTATCTTCCTTAAGCTGCGTGTCACCTGCAGAGTACACATAATATTCCCACCTAGGCTTACAGAGATTAAATGCCCAGCTCAAGGTCATCCAGGGTGGAAAGTAACTAGTTTCTCACTAAAACCCAGGCTTCACCTACCCCAAAGCCCTGACTCTGGACCCCTTCAAAAGGCTAGAGACACTTCTCTGTTTGCACAAGCTGAAATCATCTTCTGCCTTCCTTCCCACTGTTTTCTAAATATTCCCACGAATTGAAGAGTCTTCTGACTGCCTCATCCTCTTGACTTTGGGTCCTCTCACTCAGAAAGTCATCAAGACACACTTGAAAAATAAAATGTAAAGGCTTCAACCCACACCCTGAAACGAAGCACCCATCTCTTTGCTGCCACAAACAGGCCAGTATGAAATCTCTTTCAGGGCAGCTTTCTAAAGGGAAGAAACTGATGATGAAAACATTATGCAGCTGACAATACTTGGTGATGATGCAAGCAGGGCTGCCCTATCTAAAAATGTGTTTGTCCCCAAAAGACCGGCTTTGCAGTGACCCCTCCAGAAGAATATGTGCGGTAGCAACAGAGAAACTGTCAAGAAGATATACCTCCCTGTAACTGCATTGCTCTCTCCATTTATGTGTGCCAGACAAGTACCCCCACAGAACTTGAGATGCTCGGGCAAAGACGAGGGCGACAGGAATGTCATTCGGAAATGATTTCACACCGGGTTAGCCCTGCACAGCCAGCCAGCTTGCATCCTCTGGGGCAGAGGACGCCTCTCCGCCTGCAGCAGCCTGCGCGCACCGCTGCCAACTGCCACCGGTTCCTTCACCTTTTATTTACAGCGCGGAGCAAGCTGGTTCACCGGTGAAGCCGGGGAGGCAGGGAATAAGATACAATCTAGATTCTGCTCTTTCTCTGGGGACATAAACAGGGTCCGACCAAGGAGGAGGGGAAGCCCAGATTGCACCACCAGAGCGGTAGCGCGACCCTCCCCACAAAAGGGTTCTGCACCTGGACTCCAGCAGAAGCGCCTGGAGAGTCCCAGGAAGCCAGGGTCAAGCCCAGCGCCTCGGCCCGCTCCGCGCGGTGGAAGAGGCGCCAACCGAGCGTACTGCACAGGAAATCACTGCCCCCTTCAGGCCGCGTCTCAAACGCTGCGGCCGGAGCACAGGGGCTCGCTCAGTCCGGAAAAACTCGCAAACCCGACCTTGCGCGGCCAGCGATCGCTCCTCCAGACCCGCTCCGCACGCTCCAGCCCTGGGCTGGCGGTGAAGGTCCGCTCTGGGGCTTCAGGCAGAACCCAAACCGAGGCCGTGGGGAGGGGTGTTGGGATGGAAAGCCCTTGGCTCTCTGGCTCCGCTCAGGACTGCTCTCCAAGTCCGTGCTCGGGCTACTAGGTAGGATGCTTCAAGCCTGAGCCGGGAGAAACTGCCTGCAACCGCCCGGCCAACAGCAGCGGCGCGGCCAGACACCACTGCACTTCCGGGACGAGAACTGCCAGGGCACTTTCTGAGCAACTAACCCGAGGCTGGGGTCTCCTTTTGAAATCGCTCTGGCCACAGGCAGCGCCGGGCGCGTCCAGGCAGAAGCGCTGCAGAGCCGGTGGCCCCACACCTGCCCGCGCTGTGCGGGCTCAGAGCTGCTGGCGCGCACCAGGCGCTCAGCCACGTTGCACGCTCAAGCCCCTTGGGTTCCGGAGCCTTCCGGACCTCAAAGCGCGGCTCGGCTTCCCTGGGGGCCTGTGAGCAGGCCCGCGGCCCCTCCGGCCCTGGGTGGCCCAGTTTGCAGTCAATGAGCCTGTTCCTCCCACTCCGCACCTCGCAGCCCCATGAGCGGGACCTGGACAGGGGCAGTCAATGTAAGCCTTTGGGGGTCCAGCCCCCACCTTCTCCACTCCTTTTTCTCAGGTCAAAAGAGACCCCAGTCTTCCATCCCACCCCCACCCCTCCCCACACACACATACACACATAAGACCAGAGGAGGGGGTGCTCGGCAAATGTTACCAGCTGTGCCAGCCAAGCCCAGCAGGACCGCGGGGGTTGAGCACTGGGCACCAGACCTCTGTGGCCTCGGCAGACGCGGGCCGGTCAATAGGGGCTCTGACCAAAGGCCGGAGGTTGCCCCTGTCCAAACCACCCACCCCACTGCCCCCCGAAGCCCCGACGGCACGGGCAGCCGGACACTCACCTCGGTGTCATAGAGCCGCAGGTCGAGGAAGTACGGGCGCAGGAGTGACTCGTTGCGGATCTGCTCGATGGCCAGTTCCACGGCGGGGAGCACACCGCGCCCGATGCTGCCCTTGGCCACCTCCTTGGTGAGCGGCATGAGGCCCATGATGGAGAGCGGCGGGCTGCTGGGCGGCGGCCGTGGGGCGCCCCGCGCCCAGCCCCAGGCCCCGGGCGCCAGAGGCAGCAGCAGCGGCAGCAGCAGTAGCAGCAGCAGGCGCGCGGGCGGCGGTGGCGGCGGCGGCGGCGGCCCGGGCGGCCCGGAGCTCCGCGGGGAAGCCATGCCGCGCCGCGGGCTGCGGGCGCCGGCTCACTCGGCCCGCATGGCCTGGCCCGGCCCGCCGCCCCGCGCCAAGCTCTTCCCGCGGCGCCCGCGCAATGGCGCCGGCCCGGGCCCCGGCTCCGTCTCGGGCTCGGGTTCTGGCTCCGCTCAGAACGGCCGCGGCGGCGGCGGCAGCGGCGGCGCCCGTGACGGATCAATCACGCCGGGAAGGGGTGGGAGCGAGCGGAGTGCGGGAGGCGGGGAGCAAGCGAGCAAACGCGGAGAGGGGGGCCGGCGTCTCCGCGCGCGCCTCTCTCCAGCGCTGCCGCCCCGCACCGGGCCGCCTCCGCCCTCCCCCGTGCGCGCTCTGAACCGCTCTCCCGCAGGGAGCTGCTAGGCGGCAGCCCCTGGAGCCGGGCCTGGGGAGGGCGGACGGCAGGAAACGCGGGAGGCGAAGGCGAGGCTGCTCAGCGGCGGCTCGGGCCGCCTCCAGGGACGGGGACGAGCTGTGCGCGCAGGGGGTGGGGGAGGCGCTGGCGCTGCGGCGGCTGCGGGGAGGGCCACCTTCCCAGCACACGCACACACGCGCCCCCGGCCCTCCGCCGCGCCAGCTGCCGCTGCCCGCCGACCGCTGACCTCCAGGCACCAGAGCGCCCGGGGACAGCGATCTGGGAACCGGGACCGCGCGCTGGCACACGCAGTGGCCGCCGCCGCTCCGCCGAGCGCTGCCTGTAGCACCTGCACTGTGGTTTGGAACCGCTTTTTGGAGGTCTGGCCGGGAAGGTCTCGGCAGGCGAACGTTCCACGAAGGCGTCCCAGAGGCATCTGCAGCCTACGCTCTCCCGTTCTGCTCTGGCGCCCACGAGCCCCTGACCGAGTCCCAGGGGTCGCTGAAGACGCCTGCAGGTGCTCGAACGCCCGTTGGTGCCAGGCTGCCCGGCCTTTAGGGCCTTGGCTGAGGATACCCCTTTCCTCCCCACCAGACGAAGCGACCGCCCTTTGCCAACCCCAGGCAAAGCTGGGGTCCCAACCTTACGTGCGCTACCGCCCCCTCCAGGCATTTGACCTCCCCGCGTCCCCATTCTTGACGGGCTCCGCCCTAGAAGTCTCCCAGGGTGGGAGCACTATCCTCAGGCCAGGGCGGGGCCGCTCCCCTGGACTTGGCCTTGTCTCTGTCAGGTCGCACTGGCCAATCTTAGCCAAAGCAGTCCCGAGACAGATGTACCCAAGTGAGCTGACCTAAGACCTTGGATTCCTTGTGCCTCTGCATACTTCAAGAATAGGAAACGTGGTCATTAATCTATAAAGTCCCAGGGGCTGATTAATGCGAGGAACACAGTAGGACATCAAATCATGTGGGAGATATCGACGACCTTGTAATAAGAATGGGAATTTGACCTTCGCTGAGTACTTACTGTGCGCATTATGAAGTAATCCCCACAACCGCCCTGTAAGCATACTGTGTTACTCACCCTTACTTTACAGGTGAATACACTGGTGCTCAAGAGAGGTTCTGTAGCTAGTGAAAGCACACAGAGCTACTGGAGGACCGGAACCCAGAGCCAGCAGGAACTCCGTGCACGGTGCAGTGGGAGCCAGGGATGTGGGACTGCAAGTTTCCTCTCCAGGAGGGGCACTGCCCTGACTCACTTGCTCTGGACATCGGTTCCCTCTGGCATATGGTGAGGGATTTGGACCGGATGATGATGATGATGGCTACACACCAGCTCTACTGGAGTGAGGCAAGGGCAGCTCTGAATCCAGGCTGAGTTGTTAGGAAGCACGAAGATGAGAGTGGAGGCTGAGCAGAACTACTAGAAAGTACCTTGGACAGCGCCAGGGAAACCAGGCCAAATTCTCCCTGCCCTAACTTCTCTTTCTAGGCTTCTGTAGACACCACCTCTCCTGGCTCCACTTGGCACTTCCTTTTCCCCAAGCTGGAGGGTTTGCATGAACAGAGCTCACCTGAGCATCTCCTCTAGGAAGGGAGGAAGGAAGGAAGGAAGGAAGAAAGGAAGGAAGGAAGGAAGGAAGGAAGAAAGAAAGGAAGGAAGGAAAGGACGGAGGGAGAGAGGGAGGGAGGGAGAGACGGAAGGAGGGAGGGGGGGAGGGAGGGAAAGAAATGGTCCAGAGGACAGTGTAATCCCCAGATACTCGCTCTACTGCTGTCTCACTTGACATCACAAATATCCTCTAGTCATAGTCTTCTGGCACCTCAAACCCTCAGCTCAGGTTTCTGAATGAGCATTTTCACTTGTTTTGTTGTTGCTGTTGTTTGCTTGTTTGTTTTTCATTCTTTCCTTTAGTCATTCGTGTTCTCCTTGCAAGCTATGCCAATATAGAGTGTCCACTGACACCTACATCTGGAATAAGTTGAAAGCTGGGTAACTTTGCCTGACATTTACTAAGAGGTTGAAGGCCCTGCCTGGCATCCTGCCCTACAGCCCCTCTGTCTGCTCTTACAGTGGGGTGACCTGGCCCCAAGATGCATGACCTGGGATCTGCCCTGAATCAGGGGGCACCAATCTCACTCTCCATCAGCATGGCTCCAGGCCAATCTCTGATCTCACAGCCCACTTCTAATGCCTGGGCATCCCTCTGGTTCCAGGATCTTACTCTGGCCTGGTATTACAGTTTGGGTAACTGGGTCCCTGATGTGCTTCCTGAGTCTGAGTTCCTGCCTCAGTCACCAGCCTAGAATGCATGCTCCTCGAGAGCTGGGGTCCAGCCTCTTGCTTTATAATAATCATTCATTCCTTTGACCAGTGTTTTGAAGGGCATACTACCTAGGCAGTGTCATAGCAGCTGAAGATATAGGAAGGAAACAAACCAAAATCCCTGCCCTTGTAGAATTGACATTCTAGTGGAGAAAGAGAGACAATAAATAGGACGAAGAAGATATGTTAGTATGCCCATTTATGAAAAGTGCTATGGTGAACAAAAAACCAGGAAAGAGGATTGAGACTGGCAGAGTGGGGCTTCAATTTGAAATAGGGAGGTCAGGGAAGGACACACTAAGGTGACTCCTCAGCAAAGACATAAAGAAGGTAAGTAAGAAAGACAGGCGAATAGTGTTCCATGCAGAGGAACAGCAAGGGCAGAGGCTCCGAGACAGGAGTGTGCCTGGCATGTTCAAGGAACAATGTAACCGCCAATGTGGTAGAGCAGAGTGGGCAAAGGGAAAAGCAATCAGATCCAAGGTCAAAGGTAGGTAGGACTGTATGGGGCCTCAGCACTGGGAGGACACATGAAATAGGAACCGTGGGAGGCTACCGGGTAGAGCAGTGACATGATCTGATGTATTTTAAGAGGATCACTCTGGCTGCGGAGTGGAGAATTGTTATCAGGGGAAAAGAGTGTGAGCAGGAATACCTGTGAGGAGTCTCTATTACAATAAGCACATTTGGTGGCCAGGCCAGGGTATAAGCAGAAGAGAGGATGAGAATTGGCTAATCGTTGTGCTTCTTATTAATTGGAATAAAATGCATTGGCCAAGTCCCAGGATGTGGAAGACACTTGATTCCTATGAACTCATCTACCTTCTAAGAGATGTAATAGAGACTTAGAAAGCAACGTGCTCAGGTTCCACCTCCAGGAAGTGATGAAACATCCATGTCAGCCCAGGTCTGTATGGCTTAAATTATTATCTTGCTTCCATAATCCTGTTTCCTTAGCAATCTTTTCTCTAAAACCCTCTGCCTACACACAGAAGCCAGTCTCTAAATCCCGGCTCAGAGGTTGAGAGATGGTGCCCACTTCCTTTCTGGAGATTTTGGGGCTCCATCGTCCATCTGGCTGCCTGTCAACAGGACACTCCATCCCTTTGAATGGGATCCTGATGCTGGGAAGCTAACCAGGCCTCTCTGTGCTATCTGCTCTCCTTCCTTATTGGACTGATACCCCCTGCCACCTAGGGCTGCTCAGATCTGCCCTCCAGAGCTGCCTCCTCCCAGGAACTGGGTTGAGTTTTTAACACCCTTTTCCACATTTGATTGTTATCCATGCCTGCCTCTACTCTAACTCCTAAGAGCAGCAAGATCTTCTCTCACTTTCTTCTTTAAAACAAAACAATCTCTCTCACTACACACACACACACACACACACACACACGGCTAATATTAGGTTGGTGCAAAAGTAATTGCGGTTTTTGCCACGGAAAGTAATGGCAAAAACCGCAATTACTTTTGTACCAAACTAATATATAGAATTGAGACTGGCAGAGTGGAGCTGCAATTGTGTGTGGGGGTGTGTGTGTGTATGTAAACCACACACAGGCACACACATGCCATCTTTGCAAACATCTCCCATGTTATTTCTCATTCGTGTTTATATGGAAATGTTTCTTTCAATCAAGTAGTCGAGAGCCTATTTTTTTTTCTTGAAGTGCATTATTTATTTTCATTTCCTTGCTTTTTAAAAAATGGTAAGTTATGAATGACGGCTCTAAAAAACACTAACTGAATGAATCTAAGTTGCATATCCCTTTTCACAAGGCATGTTTTTTAAACCATAAAATTAGGTTTCAGGCATCAAATGTGGTCTGGTGACACAGCTTGAGTAACAACAATAGCTACCATTTATTAAACACCTACCTACTCTGTGCCAGACACCTTGGTATGCATCATCTTAATCTTCACATCTGCCTGAAAAATTGGTGTTAGGATCCCAGTTTTGCAAATTAAGAGATTAAGGTCCAGCTTGATGAAATGGTGTGCCTAATGATACCTAGCAGAGGCAGCGAGGGGGCCCAAACCCAATCCTGTCTGACCAGCCCTGTCAAACCTAGTCCTGTCTGACCCCAAATTCCTGCATTTGTCTCTGCTCTACTTGCCTCTCCTTAAAGATGCCTTTATAGAACTGAATAGGACAGACTTAAAGAGACAAAGAACATTGCTGAGGGTCCACACCAGAAAGAAGTAAAATGAGCTAGCTAGGGAACTCCACTGAATTAAAGAGAATCTGGGCCTTCTTTTGGGTTATCAGGGAGGAGAGTGTCTGGCCTGGAGAGTCTATGACTAAATCCTTCAAGAGTCAACAGCGGCCGGGCGCGGTGGCTCACACCTGTAATCCCAGCACTTTAGGAGGCCGAGGTGGGCGGATCACAAGGTTAGGAGTTCAAGATCAGCCTGACCAACATGGTGAAACCCCGTCTCTACTAAAAATTTAAAAAAAAAAAAAATTAGCTGGGTATAGTGGCATGGGCCTATAATCCCAGCTACTCAGGAGGCTGAGGAAGGAAAATTGCTCGAACCCGGGAGGCAGAGGTTGCAGTGACCCGAGATCGTGCCACTGCACTCCAGCCTGGATGACAGAGCGAGACTCCATCTCAAAGCAAAAAAAAAAAAAAAAAGTCAACAACAAGGCTAGGGCAGGCCAGCAGAACCCAGAGCCGCCTCCTTTACCTATACTCCTCATGTGGTTTGAGAACTGTGGAAGACTGATTCAGTGGGATAGGTCCTGAATGAACACAGAAAGGAC